CCCCCCCCCCCCCCCCCCCCCCCCCCAAACAACAGGAGGTGCCCGATGGCGAGGGCACGACGACCTTGTACTGCGCGCGCGCCCAGAAGAAGAGCGAGCGTGCGCGTGAGCTGCAGTCCAAGCACGACCAGGTGAAGATGGAGCGCATGAACAAGTTCCAGGGCGTGAACGTGTACGTGAAGAACCTGGACGAGGGCGTGACGGAGGACGCGCTGCGCGAGGCGTTCGCCCCGTACGGCACGATCACGAGCGCGCGCGTCATGGTGGACAACGCGAACAACAACCAGAGCAAGGGCTTCGGGTTCGTGTGCTTCTCGGCGCCGGAGGAGGCCACCAAGGCCATCACCGAGATGAACGGGAAGATGCTGCTCAACAAGCCCATCTACGTGGCCCTGGCGCAGAGGCGCGAGGTGCGCCGCACGCAGCTCGAGGCGCAGTTCGCGCAGCGCACCGGTGGGATGCCCCCCCGCGGCATGCCCATGGCCCCCGGCGCCCAGGGAATGTACGGCATGCCCTACTGGATGGGAGCCCAGCCCGGCATGCCCCAGCAGCCTCGGCAGTTCATGATGCCGCAGATGATGCCCAGGGGGCCCCGCGGACCCATGCCCGCTTACGGAGGCCGCGGCAACTACCCCATGCCTGCCTACGCCACCCCCGGACAGGTGACTTAGTTGTCAAGGCCGCCGGCTCACTTGTTTCAGCAGTTCCTCCTCGTCTTGCTCTTTTATTATTCGTTGCCTTCTCAATGTTCGCTGTAATCAAATATTGTAGTGCTCTTTTTTGGGTCGCCGTGTTTCGAGTGACGTCGGTTTTCTGTGGCGGGATAGATGGCCTCATGCATATGATACATGCCAACTAACCCGGAGTGCTTTTGTCTTTTCCTTTGTCCCTGGGCGAGTGTCATTGAAACTGTCATCGCCGAAATTGTTCTGCTCTTGTCTTGTAAATTGCTGCGTACACTATAATTGCAATTTTTCCCTCACTCCATGTTGACGGCCATTTGTGCGTGTTTTCTCGGCGTTTCCTGTTCATCAGCAGCAACAGATGCCCGGGCAGCCGCAGCCTCGCCGCGGAGCCGGGCCCCGCCAGCAGCGCGGACAGCCGCAGCCCCAGGGGGGACGCGGAGGACCGCAGGGAAGGGGAATGCCCCAGCAGCCTCAGGTATGCACCAGCGATACATGGCCTGTGTTGGGATAGTCGATCGTGGGAGTTGTCTTGAGAGTCTACCGTGCGAGATGTGCCAGTGAGGTGGCGGATGAGGCACGGGTTGTGAGAGGGGCATTTAGTTCGCAATCAAGAACAGCGGTCAAAATGGCACCACAATAGTTTTCTGGTTTTTTTCGACGATTGCATGTAGAGCGCACACAAGAATTTGTCCCGCAACCCACCACGTTGGTTGGACGCTGTTGCCTGAGTCGTATGGGTGTGGGGCTGTGGCTCTGCATCCAGGAAGCCTAGACGGTGGAGCTTGGTTGATACAGTCGAGCTCGTCTTGAGGAGAAATTAGCATCTCGATGGGGTTTGGTTTTCAGCAAGCGAAGACGCGCCCTCGGGCTTTGCTGGCTTTGAGGAACTACGGTCAAACACTCAGCTTTTTTTAGGCTGTGGAGCTGTGGCGTTCACCGTCGATTCTACCGCTGTCCTGGTGCTGAGGCCATGTCTGGTGTGAAGCCTGCGTCGGTATTCAACGTCATGCGTGTTTGCGCTGCTCTGTTGACGTTTTTGGAACTGTTGTCAAGCTCACTCGTCGTTGGCAGAAGTTTGTGACTTGCTTCAATGAGCAAAATCTGCCTGTCGTGTTTTTGAGCAGCTTTGTTAGGCGGTTTTACACTTGTCTCGAAATAGCGAGAGGAAAGAGCTCCACTTTTGCACTATATTGGACTTTGTAGATAATTAGACTCACGATTTGCCCCGCCTCGCGCCATCTACTCGTTTCCCAGGGTCCCGGAGGCCCCGGCCGCGGCAACTTCAAGTACACCCAGGGCGTCCGCAACCAGCAGCCCGGAGCCCCCAACATGCCTCCCCAGCAGCAGCAGCAGCAACAGCAGCAGCAGCCGGGTGCCCCCCAACAGCAGTCGATGCCGGCTCCCGGCCCGCAGGCTGCGCCGGCCACGAACGAGTCTCTGTCTGCGGCGGCTCTCGCCGCTGCGCCCCCGGAGAAGCAGAAGAACATGATCGGGGAACGCCTGTACCCTCTCATCTACGAGGGCCAACCGGCCCTGGCTGGAAAGATCACCGGTACGAGAGCCCACCCCGTTGGCGCTCCCCCCCTTCAAATGCACATGAGGATCGTGTGTTTTATCAGCTCGTGTTGATGCGTTGTGGCTATTCTGCGGGGCCACTGCTGTGGTTTTTTACGGATTGTACAGGAGAGGTTGCAATAACTGCTGGTTGAGGTTACCGCAGGACCAAGAACGTTTTTTTTTGCCTGTAGAGGTCGGCTTGGAGAGATTGGCGGTCTCGTGCACTGTCACTGTGGGTGCCAATCCTGAGAACGTGCTTCCCTGCCCCAGGTCGTGACGTGTGTCATGGCCGGTACTACTCTTATGGCTTCTGCACGCTTGTTGTTCACCACACTCCCGGATCTTTTGCCGCGCTTCGCTCGCCGTTGGCGCGTCCTCTTGACCTTACCCTTATATCCGCTTCGTCTGGTCTGTACTGCTCCCTCGTCTCCCCAGGCATGCTCCTCGAGATGGACAACGGAGAGCTCCTCCACCTGCTCGAGTCCCCGGATTCTCTCGCTGCGAAGATCAACGAGGCTCTGCAGGTCCTGAGCGAGCATCAGCAGGAGAACAACTAGGGGAACACCAACGGACCGCGCAGTTGGAAGCGTTGCCACCAAGAAAACACGGCGGCGTAGTAGATGGTCTTGCGCCTTGGTCGCTGCTTCGATTGATTCGAGGAATCCTGGTTCGTTTGAGCAGAGTCGTGCGGGTTGGGCTGTCCCCACCGACACTCGTTTTCGACTATTCGTCTACCTCACGTTGTGCTTGTCGGGGTAGTTGCGGTGCGCTCGTTGCTGTTTCGGTTCAGTACCGTCCGAGTGTTTTGAGTTTTACCAGTGCAGGGGGGGGGGGGTCTGCGACAGGGTCGAATGTGGAGGGGTCGAAACCTTCCCAGCACGAGGGTACTGCTGCAGTAGCGCGGATTGCGGATGGGCTTTAGTGCGCAAGCATGTTCCGTCGACCACCCCGCTTGTTTTTCGGTCCATACGGTACGCGTGTTCTGGCGGTTTCTGGGTTGGACGTCTTTGCTGCCGTGTTGGCGTATATGTTGTCGCTCCTTTCGGGGCGTCAAGTTGGTTGCCATCGTCACAGCACCGCTGATGATGTTGCTGCTTTCTCCTACTATTGGTGCTTTTGGTTCCGTCTTGCCTTGTTGGGTGTACTGCTGCCGGCCTTGTCGTGGGTTCGTCTCTTGCGAACGCGGCTGCGCGTCTTGCTTGCGCAAAACCACGCTGCTGTTGTAGTTGGAGCTCGTCGCGGGGGTGGAAAAAAAAAAACTCTTGCTTTCATTGAGTGGTTTGTTGTCGTCCTCGGGCCGCGGCATGGTGTACCATTCGTGTTTTCGAGAGCGAAAGGCTTGGGGGCATCTTTCTGGCTCCACACCGGAAGCAATTCGTTTCTGGAAGTCGTGCGTTCGTGATACCGTCGCCGATGCAATTCGCTACGCGTTCGCGCAGCACGTTTGTTGTCCTTCCTGCGTGCAGGCCATGACCGATTCACTTTCCTTCGTTCGATGGAGTCTCTCATCTTATCATCCTGTCTTCCACCCTGATGTGCATGTATCCCACCGTCGAAGCGGCACGCAGCAGCTTGCTGTTAACGTAGGGCCGAGGAAAACTTCGAGTTTCCTTGTGACCCTACTTCCTGACCATTGTGTGCGTGAAGTTACACTTTCCTTGGAACGGGTAATCCACTGCTGTTAAAACAGACTTTTCTTTCGGAGGCATATTGTGTTCATGTTCAGATTGTCTTTCGGACGCTGAAAGACAAAGACAGTCCTACAGGACTTGTGTTACCCTGGCTAGTGAATCCACCACAGTATCGAAAAGAAAAGTGGAGCATCACATGACACCGCCGACGCCAACGGGAACGGGATGACCAAAAAGACGCAAGACAGAGAAGGTGTGTGCATGGATGCCAGATATCATAGCCTGGGACCACGGGAATCGACCGCGTCGGGTGTTGGATCAGTAGTCTACATAAGAAGGTACTGGGTAGAGAGAGATCGGAACGGTTTTCAATGTGCAGACAATAATAACAACCCTCATTGAGAGGGTATTCGCTCCGGATGTAGATACGTGGGTGTGCGTTGTGTACGTTGGGGACTCCTCGCTCACTATTATTTACTGCTGCTGTCCCGCTGTTCTTCTTGCAGAGGTAGCGATACAGGTATATGAAATATGACAGCAGGGAGGGCCTCTTGGTCCACAGATAAGTACCGTCGGCGGGGATTGGCTCAGCGTGATTCACAGCAGTGTATTTATGTATTTTGATGCTCGTGTAGTTGCGCAACACCCTCCTGCCCTCTTTGCTTCCCCCGTTCTTTCTCCCGCCCGAACACCACCCCCGACCGTTGTCTGCCGACTATAATAGTGTTGTGCTGAGCTGTTTTTTTTTCTTTATTTCACGCGCGACACCTTACCCCGGTTGAAAAACGCCACAACGTTTTGAACCCCCTGCCGTCGAGAGATAATCCTGCCACCAGGATTACTTGGGCGTAAGGGGCACGCTGTCGCTGTAGTAGGACTACGTGGGGTGACGATGACGAAGTAGGCAGAGGTTTGTCCTTTGCGTGTGTGAGGCATCGCTTGATCGGCGACTTGCCGTCGAAATCAGCGCTGAGCGTGGTTTTGGTGTGCGTGGCGCCAAAAGTCTAACTGCAAACGGCGGTTAAGCCTCTTGGTCACTTGTTCTAGGCGGCGGCGGGTAGAGAGGGCCCAAGGCCATGTCGTGGCTGGAGGGATCGCCGAAGCACCAGGGATCTAAGGCCAAGCCGGCCCCGGGATCGAGTGCAAGAGGTTTGTGGTCGTCCTCTACCACCAGGTGCGAGACGACAACGAGCACCACAGCTCTGTTGCTGTGGAAGGACGAACAACGTGTACGATTCCTCTGCTGCTTCTGCTGCTGCTGCTGCTGCTGCTGCCATAGTTTCGAAGAGGCCTCTTCTCGGTCTCCTTGCTCTTTTCGTTTGCTCTGTCTGACCGAGCCATGCACGGAGCATTGCAACCGAATGGCGTTGTCCAGCGGCTGCTGCTTCGGCCGTCTCGTTTGTGGCCTTGCGACGCTGGTTGTATCTGGCGAGGAAGATGCATATTTTACATGCACGCACAGGCAGCACAGCTCTGTTATAGACGAAAACTCAGCCGTCTCGCAACGCATACTTTGAATTCCCCCATACAAGCGTTGATGGCCACTAGGATGACACCGCTCTCCTACCATCGCTCCCGATCTCAACGACATACGGCAATCGGCATCTCGCCTATGGTGATATGCATACAGCTGTGCTACCGTTTTGTGCAGGCCCATGCGTTGCACAATGACGCGCGTCGGCTGGCCTGTGAAGTGAAGTATATGCTTCGGGATTCGAAAAGTGCCTACCGTATCCCACGACCCACACTCTTGCCTGCAGCGGTGCCACACCTACTCTAACGTTTTTGCAGACACCCGCTTGCAAGTCTAGCACGTATGGTTGCGTCCAAGCCTGCGTGGGTGCTGCTGCGCGCTAGCTGCGCAGGCGTGCCACACAGCAGCGTGCCACATTCTGTGATTGGTTCTGTGGTCCTGTGATACTTTCGTACCAGGTGCTCAGAGAGCCAGTATCGCTGAGTAGCACAAGAGGATGACTGGAATTGACACATTGTTTAACCAAATGTTCTTCGTGGGTCGTTTTCGAAATTTTTCTCCATGTACCGAGTTTTTCAGTCCTTCGTTTATCTGACAGATTTCCGAAGGGTGCACTTGTACCTCAAAGGTGCTTTTGAACATGAAAGTACCACCGTGTCACGCCAGCCATGCCGGCCAGTGAAAGCACCTCAAATATTTGATGGTGACCTGTCTTTTTGGTTCCCAATACGAGAAAATTCAATTGTTTTTGTTTGTATGGGTACGTTGGCGCGTAAACCCGTTAGGACTGGGAGGGAAGTCGACATGTAGATGTCGACGTGCTGCTGTGTATCCTTTCCGCGTGCTCTCTTCCTGGTTCCCTCTCGGGCGGCATGCATGAAATATGAACATATACCGTTACCCAAACCAAAGCACGGCAGGTCTGATGAGAACGACGTAGAGGCATGTGTTTTTTCGGTCTCATGTCACACCACAAATTGTCAAGGCACATGCCCTCCTTCAATATTTTGCCTTCGTCCATGACATCGGCAAAGATAGCACACCTGACAAGAGCCAAAGTGTGATCGAAGTCACAGCGCTTCTGCTCTCCCCTCGCTTTTGTGGCAACTACCAGGACGTATGGAAGCAGCAGGCGACCAACGTCGAGCCTGCGCGGCTCCGCAGCCTCCGGGCCAAAGTCGGGGGGTCTGTTCAGGGGCCACACCCCCGCGGGTGGGGCGGGAGGGGGTCAGTACGATTTGACGAGAGTGGGACTATCGTCTGCCTACGAGGAGGATCCGGAGTCACCTTTGGGTGACGGCTCGTTGGCGTCGAGGGCTTCCCCCGAGCTTGATTCGTCCCCCATCGTGCTGACGTCGTTCGCGTGAGTGTTTTGCCCGAGGGAGCGTAAACGTTAGAGAAGCAGTCAAGAGCCTCCACAATGCAAGCAGGGATCCATGTTTCAAACTGCAGAGAGGAATGCCAACGTATCTTGCGACACCCCTCCTTTGATCCCATTCTGGACGGATTATGCTATCCCCTGCATATTTTCGCATCCTCGGTATGTATGCACCAGTCCAAACCCGGGCGTGAGGACCTGATGGTTTTTACCCATGTACGATCCACTGTAAGCAGCGCTTGTTGTGTCTTGATTGCGTCTCTGCTTTGCACGCATTGTGGTAAATGATGTTTTTTTCTCTGGTTGGGACATGACGCTCCCTGTTACCTTGAGCCTGTCTGTCCTCCTTCCTTCCACATGTTGTTACGTTTTGAGGTGGTCACCTGGCCGAACGCACAGCTGGGACAGATGTGCAGTGCAGGCGGAGGCTTGCCCAGAGTACGGTGTACCCAACCTCACCCATCCGTGGAAAGTCCACCACAGGACATGACTGGCCCTACAAACATGAACCGCTCATGATCCTTATGCTGTTGTTCAGAAGAAATGGTCCAACCTTTTGACAGGTCTGTTGACACACAACGCGAGAGCCAGTCACACGGCAGCAATATCGCCGTACCAAAACGTCCGATAGGTGGCCTGGTGCGGTCCTCAACGCCTCCGTTTGTCTCCCCGAACTCTTGCGCGCATCCACAGCAAACGTGGCTTGGATCTCGACCTAGAATCTCCCGGTGACAGCGTTGCCGCTGCGGCCGCTGCCCCCGCCGACCCAAAGGCAGGCGGCAGGAAGGCTAAGAAGACGACGGCGCGTGCCCGGAATGGTGCCAGTCGAAGTCGAGCTGCGAGGTCCTCTTCTGCTGACCCTACCCCAAAGGGAAAGGCGGGGACGCCAGCAACGGAGGAGGTGGATGCACCGGCGCCCGCCCCCAAGCGCAAGGTGCCCGCCGCCCGCAAGACTCGAGTGGCAAGGCGTGCCGGCGCCGTCGGCGCCAGCGCTTCCGCCGCAATTTCCGAAATATCCGTCACCCGCCAAGAGGAGGGGGTCGTTGCGGAGGGGGACCGACCGTTGGCATCGTCGTCGTCGCAGCCGAGTGTTCGTCGGGAGCGGTCACCGACGAGGAGAGGGGCCGGGAGGCCGGAGCGGTGGGCCGAAGGTGGTAGCGGCGGGGAGTCGGCGGGGAGGGGCCCTTCCTCTCCCCTGTCGAGCCCGCTGAGGCCCATCACGAACTACACGTCGGAAGGGGACAGGCCACCGCGCACGAAGGCTAAGGTGAACATGGGTGTCGTGTATTGTCGAGGTTAAGGGATAGATGGATCGACTGCTACCGCCTCGAGGCTAGGATCGATCCAAGTTATGTTTGTTCTCCGCCTGGAACCGGCCTACCTCAAGTATCAGTTGATGACAGTCTTGTTTTCTATGTGGGAGCCGAACTGCTTCGAGAAACGCCGTAAGGAATAGGTACCGCCGTGATCACACGTCGATTGTGTAAAACCAATCGTAGGTGTTGTGTGACGCATCACCGGTGGTCGTCCTCTCGGGCCGGCCGTTTGGCATGCAATCGTTATTTCAGGTCGCCGGTGCCAAGACGTGTGCAACCGCCGCCGCCGGCGGGGAGAACTACAGCAGCAACGGCGGCGGCGGCGGCGGCGGCGGCAGCAGCAGCAGCTCGGAAGAAGTAGAATGGCGAGACGACGGTATGGACTTCACGAGGAGCGCGTCGTCGAACGTCGGCAACGGCAACGGTAAGGCGAAGGAGGCCGGCAGCAGCCGGCCATCCAACCTCAAAGCGGGCGGTGGCGGCGGTGGCCGCCGTCGCAAGGGCGATAGCAAGACCAAGCGCGCTGCCCCTCTTCCTTGCGCCATGCGGGGGTCGAGAAGCAGCGCGAGGGGCAAGATGCGCGCAGAAGCAGCGGCGGCGGCGGCGGCGGCGGCGGCGGCGGCGGCGGCGGCGGCGGATGACGATCCGTTGTCCGACGGCGTTGACTATTCTGAGGGGTCGAATTGCGACAAGTTTGACGAGGACAAGCACCTATCGCCGATAGTCCCTGCACCTCTCCTGTCTCCGGGAGGTGCGCGTGGTGTCAATGGTTTGCCGGAGATCGGGGGGGGGAG